TCTCTCCCCATTGCGTTCCAGTCTCTGATTTTCTCATTAATTTTTCGGGGATCAATACTAATGTCTTTATTTCTTTTGCCCATTAAATATAGTGCGGGCATTTCGACGAGAGGCGAAACACAATTAGTTTCACCGTGAAATGAAAGATTTCGATAAATTATTATTAGGTTTTCATTAATTAAAAAATTGTGCTCACTCCCATTTTCTCATCACCCGTCCCGCCCCCTCTTCTCATTACAGTTTTAGGGTCGTAAATATAATCCAGAATTTCTTTTGATCTCAATCTTTCTTTTATTCATAATATCATTGTGTTTGTTAATAGTTTATAGATAAAATGCTTGGATTCAGGATCACCACGCAAGGCGTGATCACAGTGTTATTAATCGAAAGAAAACATTATGTTTTAACTGTTATTATAAATATTAAGTGTTTATTGTTTCACACAACGAATTTGACATTATAAAAAAACTACATTATAAAGATATAATTAGAAAAGATTGTTTTTCGCATTTTTAGGTTAATCGACACGAGGTAACGAACAAACTAGACAGAGTATACGACGCTCAATCTCGAGAGAGATACATAGAATAAAATATAAAGGCGGACGCACAAGCGAACGCGCGCATGCGCTTTAAAACTATAACACAACTATACCGCGAAAATTTAAAAGTTCAAATTCTTAAATACAGACAAAATGAAATAACTCAATCCTAAACACATTGCTGTATAGAGTTTTACCCCTGCCCCGACGAAAAAAGTCTTGTAGATCTTAAAGGAAGGATATAATTTTAATTACACTATTAAAATTATTATTATATCATTATTGTTATTTCTGATATTTTTTATTACAATTGTTAATTATTTATTTTATTTATTTCTTAAATAAGCAAACAGCTTTCAAATACAAAATAATATTATTATACCTACTAGTTATTATTATTAATATATTAATATTATTATTGTTAGTTCTATTATTTGTTTTTATATTATTTAATTTCATAAAAAATTTTATTAGCATTAAAATTATTATATCCTTTGTTATTATCTCAAATTTTATAAAATTATTTTCTGTACAATTGTTTATTGCAACATTTATTTTTCTTAAAAAAACTCTTTCTTTTGTTTCAGGTTAGTAAATTTCTTCAAATTGGTATCTGGAGTTTATTGTAAGTAATATTTCTGTACAATTTATTATTTTCCGTAAACATTACTTGAATAATTGTATAAAAAAATCTTTTAAAATTTAAATAATCGCCCACTTTTTTCAAAGTCATTTTTAAATGGCGTCAAACGTGTGACTGACTCACGTTGTCCTTCGCGGTCACCCGTGCGACTTGAGTAGTGTGCGGAGTCGCCCTAAAATGTATCGCGAGATTGTAAACCGCCTGAATGATTTATCCCGCACTCGCGGGACAGGTAACGATAGGTCGCGTCCCACGGCTAGGTATTAGATCCGTTCCTGATGTGGTTGAGTGTGGACGTGTAAAATCATTGTAAACATAAAGTAGTCATTATTTTTTATCTGTGATATTCCTAAATGATAAATGAATAAATATAAGTGTTATAGAAAGTGAATTTATCATTCGGCAGTTAAATTAAGCAGGTTTCTGTATTCAGGCAGCTGTGCTGTCGATACATATGAAATCTAAGAGCTTATAGAGATTTATTTAAGATATTTAATTTGTTTGTATAAATTTGATTCGGATTATTAATAGCTTTCTTCTTAATATTTAACTGCCGAATGATAAATTCACTTTCTATAATTATAATTGCCTATGAATTGAAATACTAGGCTTACCATCTTTAAGAAACTTCCTGCGTTATCATTAAAATAACGTAGGAAGGGATAGTATATGTCAAGGAATTCGGAGAATCTCGGGGTGCATGTAGCTCAGTGGTCAGAGCAGTCTACCGGCAATAGAAAGGTCGTGGGCTCGTATCCCACCATGCTACCGTTTTTTTCTGGATTCTTTGATAATTTTGAAATTATTAATTAATTTCGAAAATATTTTTCAGATTAAGCAGGTTTCTGTATTCAGGCAGCTGTGCTGTCGATACATATGAAATCTAAGAGCTTATAGAGATTTATTTAAGATATTTAATTTGTTTGTATAAATTTGATTCGGATTATTGATAGCTTTCTTCTTAAAATATAAGTGTTATTATTCTCGCACTTCATCTCTCAGTTATTTATAACCTGCACAATTCTGCGATATTAAGTTCACGTGTATTTGGGGGAAGTTGGAGCCCCCGGTTGAGAGCAGTCAAAGGAAGCTGATTAGTCTTCACATTATCTTATTTATTCAAAAACTCTACACTGGTGACCCCGAACACGCAGAAAGTGCTAGTAAAAGTACCGGAAGTGCATCAATAGTGCAAAAAAGAGCGGAAAACGCTCAAAGAATATCAAGTGTATGACACATGGTCGAAGCGTCACCAACGACGCCATTATCAATCACGACCGACGACACAACTCAAAGTAAAAAAACCACAAATCGGAAGATAGTTTACAGTGTCCGACAATTGCACTGTAAATTATATAAAAAATACTGCACATCAGTCAGCTGCTCCAGTCCTGAGGAAAAGCCTGATCGAGTCCAAGGTCCTGAAAACGAGGGGAATAAGAACGACGCCGCAACCTGAAAAAGAGGGAAAAGTGAAGCGCAAGCAGAGCCAAATTCAGCCGACGGCCACAAATTCCGGTGACGAGACAGCCGCCAAGGAGCATTTGCCGCCATATTGCCATTCACCACCCCACCACAGCACGTGGTAAGCAGCAGCAGCAAGCAGCGCGCAAGAGCGCTGTAACCAACCAACCTCACATTCAGCGGGCTGGTAGCCCACCTGACGGCAGCGACAACCAACACCACTGACAGCGCGCTGGAGCGCAAAAATCAACTCAACTTCCAAACAGCGGGCTGGTAGCCCAAAACGTCAAGCTGAGAGCAGTACACCGCGGATCTCCAGTATAATTGTAACTGTATGTAAGTCTGAGAATTGTGTGTTTATGTGACGTCTCTTCGTAATTTAACGAAGTAAAAATTTATTCACATCATTCTTTTTCTTACAAAGAATAAATTAAACTAATTTGAAAGTAAAATTTTTACGGAAAACATTCGATTTTAAATTCTAAAAAAAATCTTTTTTCTTTCTTTGAATTAAATTATATTTCAGACTATCAGTAAAATCAATTTAAATTAATTGATATAATTAAAATAAAAAAAGAGAAATTTTCTATCGGTGTTGACAGTACACATATGCTTCGTGTTTTGTTAATGTATATGTTTCAGGAAAGAAGCCAAGCAACAAGAAGAAAACTACAATATTTATAAAAAAAAGTGTTTCAATTATAATACCCAAGATATAATGTGTTATAATTTTTCTTTTTTTGTCGTTTTCTAAAATATCTTGAGTGTTAATGAGTAACAAACTTAAAATAACAATTAATTAAAATCAAACAAAATTACACACTCGAGATATCCTGTCAACACCAATAGGGATTAAATAAAATATTTTCGAGAATTCTAAATATAAAAAAGAAAAAAAATTTTTCTCTTCTTTATTTTCAATACATTTTAATCAGGGATTTTATGTATATTATACATGTATGTGTGTTGTCCCATGTATACAATTGAAACATCTAGCCGATAATTCGCAACGCGTGCTTGCAGTGCTGAGTAAACAATAAAATAATAATTTATTAAAATTTTAATCGCAAAAATTTTCGGATCCTTGTAAACTTAAATGCGGACCCGGATACGAGCATTGAGGTGTACCTACTCTTTCTATTAGGAACCGCGAGTGTATTTTAGATAAAATACATAACCCTTTAGTGGATCTCCACCGAGTTGCGTCGCGTAAGTAATGGTAGGAACCCGCTCAGGGAAAAAAGATCTTTTATTAACTTCGTCACAACCGACTGGTTCTCGGGAAACGGGAACTGAACATACGAACGACAATACAAATAGCGACGTTATATCAAGTAGAAACCCAGCATCGAGATCAACTAAAACCCAACGTACCCCGCCAAAAGTTACCGTAAAACAAGAAATAATTTCTGAAGATAGCTTTGAGTTCGACGAAATAGTTGGGGAAAAAAGTCCTGACACTCATAACGAACATAGAACAGTAAACGACGGATTAAATAGAACGGTTTTAGAAGAATCTGACGCGCGCAGCGAAATTACCGAGCAACAAAATAACCCACAAAATAATTTAATACCACAAATTGCAATTATGCCGGACCATAACGAGATAAATAACCACCTAACGGTCACGCGATTACCTCCCTTTAATAAAACCGACCCAGATCTATGGTTCAACCAAATAGAGAGGTTGTTTGCTAGAAACAACATTGTGTCTGAGACAGATAAGGCTGACGTTTTAATTGCCGCCGTAGACTCAGAAGTATTAATATGCGTTCGGTGCATAGTCCTGCAAGACCCACCCCCCGCAGACATTTATAAGCAAATTAAATCCGGCATATTAGGGAACTTCGGCACTAGTAGTGAGCAACGCCTCCGCCAATTATTAAAAGGTGAGGTGTTGAATGGTAAGCCGTCGTACGTTTTAAGCCAGATGCGCAACATTGCCAACAATCAGTTCGGTGATGAGGTAATGCGTCCTCTTTTCATGGAACATTTACCCACCATACCAATGAATTCGGATAAAAATCTAACGGACATCGCGAAAGTGGCCAATAAAATAACCGAAGAAATGCAGGAATATAAAAAACATGAACAACCGATAGCGAGCGTAGCGGCAATAGGAAAACCCGAATCAGACGTAATAGCACGATTAGATGCCATAACAACTAAACTAGCAAATTTAAAAAATAAAATAGATAGGCCGTTTAGAGGACGGAATCGATACAGCGAAAAGTACAACGAAAATTCGCAAAACAGATCCCGATCGAATTCACGACACGATTGTTCCCGAAGTCGCCCACGCCCTGAACGTCTAAAAGACATATGTTGGTACCATTGGAAATTTGAAGACAAATGTTTACCGGACAAGTGTACCGCACCGTGCAATTGGTCGAAAAAACAAAATACGGGAAAAAAATAGCGCCTCATCGTGTCGACGCAATCGATGATAATAAAGGCTCAAAGCGTCTCTATGCTTTCGATAAAAAATCGCGTTTAAATTTTCTAATTGACACCGGGTCAGATATTTCGTTGATCCCTCATGTAGGAAAACCGGATACACCCCCGTCAGATATCACGCTTTTTGCGGCAAATAATACTCGTATTGCGACATATGGCAATAAACATTTAAATTTAAATCTTGGATTGCGCTGGGACCTGAACTGGAAATTTTTAGTAGCCGATGTTCCGTATCCAATAATAGGAGCGGACCTCCTATCGCATTATGGAATATTAGTCGATTTAAAAGAACGGAAAATAATAGACTCTCTAACGAATTTGCGAGTTAATGGAGTTTTAAAATGCGCAGAAATATGTAGCATCAGTGTAATTGATCGCACGTCGGAAAACGCGAAGTTATTGGAAGAATTCCCTGAAATAACCAAATTGCAACAATCGACAAATACGTCGATCCGCGACACGGTTCATTATATAGTAACGAAAGGACAACCGATAGCACAAAGGCGCGACGTTTAGATCAAGATAAATTGAATATCGAGAAAAAACAATTCCAGGAAATGGAAGCCGCTGGAATATGCCGAGCGTCAAGCGGTTCATGGGCCTCACCCATGCTAATGAAACAAAAAAGGACGGCACCTGGAGGATCTGTGGTGATTTCAGGAGAGTAAACTCGGTAACTGAACCCGACAGATACCCAGTGCCGTACCTCCAAGATTTTGCCAATAATTTGCACGGAAAAACCATATTTTCAAAACTCGATCTTTTCAAAGCCTACCACCAAATTCTAGTCGCACCCGAAGACATCCCAAAAACTGCGGTAATTACGCCGTTCGGGTTATACGAATATACCGTGATGACATTCGGGTTACGAAACGCAGGGCAAACATTCCAGCGATACATAAATAAAGCGTTAGAAAAATTACCATTCGTGTTCGCGTATGTAGATGATATATTAATAGCATCCGAAAATCCGGAACAGCATAAAAAAGACCTGAAAGAAGTTTTTGAACGTTTAAAAAAATTCGGTTTACGGGTAAATTCGTCAAAATGCCAATTTGGCGTTAAAGAAATAGAATTCCTAGGATATGCGATAAATAGTCAAGGATGCAAGCCCACTACGGAAAAAATTGAGGCAATTATCAATTGGCCGAAACCGGAGACGAATAACGATTTGGGACGTTGGATAGGCGTGGTAAATTTTTATCGGAAAAATTTACCCTACGCCGCCGAAATTCAAGCACCTCTTCACGAACATCTCCGCGACGTCCGGAAAAACGATAAGCGCAAAGTAGTCTGGAATGAGAGATCGGAAAACGCGTTTGAAAAAACTAAACAAGAGATCGCGACAGTGACAACACTGGCACACCCCTGCAGTGGAGCTGAGTTACGTTTAATTACGGACGCCTCGGACACCGGAATGGGTGCAGCCCTAGAACAAAAAGTCGATAGTAATTGGAAGCCATTAGGATTTTTTTCGAAGAAATCTTCCCCAGCGCAACAACAATACAGTACCTATGATAGGGAAATAACGGCGATTTTCGAGGCAATAAAATACTTTAAACACGCGTTAGAGTTCCCGGAATTTACGGTGGTAACGGACCACAAACCTCTAATTTATATGTTTACACAAAAATCCGATAAATCATCCAAACGCCAACAAAATCAAATAAGTTTCATTTCCCAATACACAAATAAAATACAACATATATCGGGAGAGAAAAATGTCGTGGCGGACGCATTATCACGTATAGAGGCAATAAACATGCCGACTTTGATGACGTTTGAGCAAATAGCCCAAGAACAAAGCAATGACGTAGAGTTGAAACGAATCCGCGAATCAGGTAATTCATCACTTAAGTTAAGCAAGCTGTCAATGGGAAATGAAAACACCGAAGTCTGGTGCAATACCTCCGGGGAAAATATACGACCTTTTATTCCGAAAACCCTGCGTTATGTGATATTTCAACTATTTCATGGTCCATCCCATCCGAGCGCCAAAGCCACAACAAGGCTAGCGAGAACGAAATACGTATGGCCCTCCATCAATAAGGACATGAAATCCTGGGCAAGGGGTTGCCTGCAATGCCAACGGGCAAAAATTGGGAAACACGTTCATGTGCAACCAGCGCAATTCGCACTCCCATCAGCTCGTTTTAAACACGTCCATATGGACATAATAGGTCCCCTTCCCGAATGCGAGGAATACCGGTATTGTTTAACGCTAATCGACAGATTCTCACAATGGCAATTCGAAGCAAGATTATTTACAGAATTGCGACGCGTAATAGGTTGTGACAGAATACGAACAACGTCATATCACCCCGCGTCAAATGGGCTAGTAGAAAGATCGCACAGAACATTAAAAGCAGCAATAATTTGCCACTCAGATACCGAGTGGATACATATCCTTTCAACAGCACTGTTTGGGCTACGAATTTACGTAACGGACAACGGTGCATCACCTGCGGAATACGTGTACGGTACAACCTTGCGAATACCCGGTGAGTTGATAGTTCCCGAGGAAGAGTCGGTTGACCCAAAACATTTCTTATCAGAGTTCCGTCGTCACATGCAACAAGTGCGTGCAGTACCGGTGGAGCACCACGGTAGGAAAAAAATATTCGTGCATAAAGAGTTAAAAGATTGCACGCACGTTTTTTTACGTGCACCTCCAAACAAAAGGTCGCTTCAATGTCCGTATTCGGGCCCGCATAAAGTAATCAATCGATTATCGGATAGAGATTTAGAAATTGATGTTAACGGAAAAAATAAAAACGTGTCGATCGAAAATGTAAAACCTGCTCATTTCATTCCCCAAGAGGAGTGGATAGCAATACGAAACGATCAAAACGGAAAACCGGCAAACGAAAATGTAAATTTAAAAATTTCAAGTAAAATCGGTCCGGAACTAATCGGTCAACCTTTTTATAACATCGAAAAATACGCAACTCGCACACAAAACAACTCGCGGAATGATTGTAACGACAACGAAACAATACAACAGTTCGAATTCCAACAACCGGAAGAAATTATTGTAAACGCGGAAAAATTGGAAAACACGAACGAACCAAGTACTTCCAAATGTAACGGCAACGAAAAAAATAACAAGCCTAGAATTACAAAAATAGTGGCAATTCCGCCAGGTCAATACATAATTCCGCCAGGTCAACGCGAGACTCGCGTAAGATTTGCGCCTAACGTAATAAATAACACGAGAAGTAAAATTAGTCCAAAAATAAAACTCAGTACCGCAAGCAATCGAGAAAGGAACACGGTTGCCGATAATATAAAAAAAACAATTCACAAACAAATCAAAAAAGAACGAAATTCGTACCTGCAATATTGTGAAAAAACGCAAACAAATAAAAAACGAACCCGCAGACTCGCGCATACTAAAAATAAAATAAATAAAATAATAAATAAAATAAAACAAAACATGAACCTAAACGGTTTAAATATGTAATGACATACGCAAGTCTGCGGAAAAAAAATTCTTAACAAAAGGTGACAACGATACTCGCGATGCAAAACGTTCCTTCCTCGATGAATCTCGTCGAAACTGGGGGGAGAGTGTGTGGGGAGTCGCCCTAAAATGTATCGCGAGATTGTAAACCGCCTGAATGATTTATCCCGCGCTCGCGGGTCAGGTCGTTACCTGACCCGAATAGGTCGCGTCCCACGGCTAGGTGTTAGATCCGTTCCCGATGTGGTTGAGTGTGGACGTGTAAAATCATTGTAAACATAAAGTAGTCATTTTTATCTGTGATAATCATAAATGATAAATGAATAAATATAAGAGTTATTATTCTCGCACTTCATCTCTCAGTTATGTATAACCTGCACAATTCTGCGATATTAAGTTCACGTGTATTTGGGGAAATAAGACACTTATTTTTGCAGTGCAATGCTATTGAATTTAATTTTGTTGAGAGTATAATTTCTGTATTGAATTAAGAAAGTATGTTAAAATATAATAATTCATAATTTATAACTAGAAGCATAATGTTGTCTAATAAAACATGTAAAATGGTTGAGATGTAGGGTTGATACAATTTTATTCAAAAAATATTAGTTAGTTTGAAATAATTGTTGCCATTATTTTAAATACAATTTTGTTAAATTATTAAATAGTATTTACAGTTTGTTTAGATGTACATTTTAGACGATAAAATATGCTTTTGAATCAATAGCACGTGGTTTTGTTATTACAAAAAATGTATTCGAATACGTTCAAAAACAGATGCTATAGAATTGACAGTGCCATGCTACACTCAGAAAAAAATTTGTTCGAAACAACCAAATTTTGGTTGAATCAACTAATTAAATGCATTGCTATTTCTTCCAATACGTTTATTTGTATTAACCAAATGGATATTACACTTAACCAAAAAATTTTATTTAATATAACTAAAAAATTTGTTTATTTCAAGAGAAAAGATTTGTTTGATTCAAATATATACAGGCAAATCTCGCTACGGCGGAAAGCAATTAGACGATTCCGCCGTAGAGAGGTTCGTTAAAATGCTATTAGTGAGTGAACGTTCAGGGATGTATCAACCATTTTAAATCACATGATCTTTAAATATGAAATAGAAGTTATGATAATTTATTAATTACCTTATTTAAAAATATGTATTAAAAATCATTCAATTCTTGTAAAGAATTTTGTCAAAGAATTTGAGAATAATTGAATTCCTTCGCAGAATTTTATTATTTATGAAAGTAATCGAATTCTCGCGAAAAATTTAATTAAAATTTACAAAAATATTAATTAAATTCTTTTGAAGAATATCTTTAAACTTTTTTAAAATAATGGAGTTTCTTTAATAGTTATAATTGAAAATTTTGAAAGTAATTGAATTATACAAAGAATTTTTTTAGCTTTTTAAAATAATCTTGTCTGTTAATAGGTAATTTTAAATATTTGATTTTTAAAGTTTATTAAAATTGTATTGAAAATAATTGAATTCCTCAGGAGAATTTTATTATTTATAAAGAATAATTTAATTTTTGCGATGAATTTTAAATATAATTATTTTTTTAAAAATTACTTTGATTTGTTATTCTATTTATTTTATTATTTTTCATGTTTATTTTTTATAATATGTAAAATATATCACAAAATAAACAAAAATTATAAATCAAATATAAAGTAAATAATTTAAATAAAAAAACATCCATATAAAAATTACAATTCGAAACTTTTCGGCCCTGAATTTTATGGCACTCACACAGTCACAACTCTTACTGACATAATCCCTTCTACTTCTACCTGGCGAGTTTCCGCCGTATAGAAGTCCGCCGTAGCGAGATTTGCCTGTAGTTTTAGTTAACATATTTGGTTCATTTAAATAAATATTTTTGTTTACTTAATTTTGTTATTTATTTTCCTCTAATAATATTTGAATTTCCTAATTTAATATTTTCTAGTACATATTATTGGTTAATTTATAATTTATTATATAATTATTGATATTTTAAAATTATACATATAATAAATCATAAATTAACCAATA